GAAATAGAAGAAACACAAGAAATTAACACAGGGGAGGTGAAAATAGAGGCATATAAAAAACAGAGGCATCAGTTTCCATAGCAAGAATTTCCGTTTTTCGTTGGTTCTAAGCTAGCTCGGCTTTGAACGTTCAAAGTCAACAAGCCAGGTTATAGCAAGAGCTTAGCACAACACTATTCTATGGCTTCACACGTCAAGAGCTCAAAGTAAGGACGAAGTAATATCATATTTATGCTTTAATAATAATAATTATAATAATAAACAATTCTCATCCATACTCCTCTATAAGTTGATCTTGTGTAATAGAAATTAAAACATAAATACAATCTTTGAGCAAACTGTCTACGCATTAATCATTCTGAAAGGTTTTAAAGGATGAATGTGCAAAAGCAATATCCAAGAAACCTCAAAAAAGAGTGTCACTTTATTCAATCAAGCCTGAACGAAGGCATGGGATCAGAAGGTAATAATAGTCTTTAAAAAAAAACGAAAAAGAAAAGTAAAACCTAAAAGTTATGTATTTGAGCGAAAAGTTCCTTTAGCGGAATATGCAAAACCAAAGCAGTTGCTAAAAATCTTGTAAAAAAAAATGAGCAAAGAAGATACCAAGGCTTCGAGCCAGTTGTGGGATGGGACATCACCTCTTCTTTCGAGGACGCTAATGTTTGCTGCCTCTTCCCTGCTGGAATTCTTCGACCAGCTAGCGCTGGCGTAGAATCATGCTCTCAAAGACTTTCTTTCTACCGTGGGGATGTCATGCTGACCTTCAGTAGTGGAGGGAATAACACCACACATAAGCAAACATCAAGAATGTGGTTCACGTCGTGGTCAAGCGCACAAAAACTAAACAAAAAATGTGCATAAATTCCACCATATTTGACCCTCTGATCTATTCTCTTTGGATCCACAACGAGCTATCATTGAAATCTAAAGCATGAAGGAAGTAAAAATATGTTTTCTTTTATGTTCTTATATCTTGTATTATGTGAAAGCTAGAGCAATTACAATTGAAATAATAATAATAAAAAAAAATAGAAAAGAAAAAAAGGATGCAAAGATGTCCTTCAATGTTCCATGCATTATGGTATTGTGGTAGTTATTGTGGTCGTAGTTTCAAAAAAATAATTTTATAAAAAATATTTTTAATTAAGATTGGTTTAGAAAAATATATATATATATATTGTGTAAATTTAACTAATACTATTACATCATGAAATAAATAATATTAATATCAAATATTTTTTATTTTTTTATTAAATTATATACAATTTCATCATATACGAAATCTATCTAATAAGGATTATATTTTTCATAATTTTTTAAGTGTGTAATAACATCAGGTAAAATATCATCAAGAATAAAATTGAGATTGCGATCAAATTCTACAAATATTATGTTATCAAACGATCTTCTTCTAATTTTTTTAAATAAAATACAATTAAAAATTAAAATTAAATTTTTTTAACTGGATCGTACACGGCAAGAACAAAATTAAAATTACGATTAAATTCTGCGAATGCTAGATTATCAAGCGACTTCTTTTTAATTTTTTAAATAAAATATAGTTAAAAAAATAAAAATTAATTTTTTACTTAATTGAATCCAGTTCAATACATTCTTTTGGACTAGACCCAATCTCCACTATTCACATAAGTGAACAGTGAAGATGCGCTCCCCACTGTTCACTTATGTGAAGAGTGAATAGTGCAGTTATTCATTTTAGAAAAACGTAGTAAGAAATATGAAAAAATTGTTTACGCACAACCGCAGGTAAAATATCAAATTTTCATAGGTCTCATGGCCAAAACACAGCTATTGAAAATAACCAAACGTTATGTTATTGAATTTGAGAAAAAACCTCAGTTCAAAGGGATCAGCGACCATGAGATCGTAGCAGTTCACAGAAGATTTGAAAGCTCCAAAACTGAGTTGGAAGATTCTGATTTTGCTAAGCTTGGCTGTCATGGCGGTGCTATATATAATGTGTAAAGGTCCTCGAATTTTTTGTCGTAAATAAAGTTGTGCGCAGAAGCCCCGAAAAAATGCTCTGCAGGTCGCCCTGCAAATGGATATCTCTCAATTTGTCTTCATCAAAGAAAATAGCAAGAAATATATAAGAATGTGCCAGTAGAAGATGTTTGTTGTTCATGCAACAGACCTTATGATCGTAAGGGTTCGTATAGAAATTCCCTTTATCATCCTACAATTCTCGTTCATATGTTCTTCCATCATCATTACAGTTGCGTGTGAAGAGTTTGAAAGATGTTGAATCTACATCGAGACATCTCCAAATCTGAAAAGAAAATATTAAAGATATGCCTAAGCTTCCATGTTCAAAGAAATGCAAAAGAAGAAAGAAAGGATAACTCATAAATCAGTACATGCTAGCATTAACTTGCAACGGAGCAGACACCTGTTTCAAAAAAAGAAGAGAGAAGAAGACCGACATGTAAAGAAAATCAAGAAATGTGAAAGAAGGGAAAGCTGCATCTCACGCTCACATTGATTTCCCAAGCACTTGCCGTATTGTAAATAGGAGAATTGCCAGGAAAAAACGTCAAAAAGCAAAGCATGTTTTGTCAGCATGCCTATACTTAGCTCAATGGCTAGAGAAACAACTGCTTGACAATATGCTGTCAATAAACAGCACGATGTGACAATTAAGAAAAACAATAAAAACAATAAGAGAAAAAACGAGAAGCCCCTCATTGAAGATTTGGATTGGGATATATATGACTTTTTCAAATTTCCATGAATAATAAAATAAAATAAGTACTTTTTGTATCAAAATATTTAAACTTTATTTTAATCATTTAATTTTTTAAAATATAATTAGAATGCAATTTTTTCCTTGGAATCAATAAAAAATAAATCAAGTCCCCAAAAGCTTTCTATCCTTTCAAGTAGTTTTTTTTTTATTAATTCTACAATGGAGTAATTTAGTTTTTTTATTTAATTAATTAATATTTAAATAATAAAAAGTTATTAACAAGTATTATTTATGTACTAATACATGAGAGACGCTTACATTTTTTAGATGGTATATGTGACTTTATTCAATAATAAAAATTATTTTTTCGCTTGGTGAATTGTAGTGATTTGTTATCAATGAGTCTTTTTTTCTTCTTCTTCTCCCGAGCATTTATAATTCTACCCTCTTCAACTTCATTCCTTATTATTTTTATTTTTAATTTATCATATATTATTTTTTATTTGAGCAATCTCACCCCTTATTACTTAGGTTATATGTCTATAATGCCAACTAAGATTGACTCCTGTTTATTTTTTAATTTTTTTACTCAATTTATTATTTCATATTTAATTAACTGAATATTGAATAATATCTAGTTTTTATCCACTCATGGAAAAGTGTTTTTTTTTTATATTACTATGATTTTTTTTGGTCTATTTTTTGTTTTTTTATTTATATAATTAAAATAAAATTAGCTTTTTTACTTAGTGAGGATTATAACTTGAATTATATATATATATATATATATATATATATTAAATATATTTGTGACATCTAAATATTATTTTTAAAAAAATTAATGCAGACCCGTGTCTCGTTTATACGAATACTAGTTACTTGCATTAGTTAATTCCACGTAGTTTCCCAACTTGGGAAATTGAATATATTTACTGGATAAGTTAGTGGTGATTAGTTGATTCAATTGAAACAAATTTCATAATTTACTATTGCGTTTGGTTGTTCCTTTTTAAAAATAATTCTTTACATGAATATTAAAAATAAATTTTTAAAAATATAATATATTATTATAATATATTTTTAAGTAAAAGTATTTTAAAACAACTGTTATTATAATTCCAAGTTAATTTATATTTGGATTTATATTAAATTTATATTTATTAAATTAATATTTTAAATTATATATATGAAAAATACAATTCTGAAACACATGTAAAAACATTTTGAAATTAAAACATATCATTTCAATTAAAAAATCAAAATACTCCCTAAAATAAAAATAAAAAAACTAACCGAAACAAGATCGACCATCTTGAAATTTATCTCCAAAACCTCAACTTGTTTCCTTAGTCAATTAAACAAGACAACGAAATGATGACACTAACGATTTAAAGTTGGTTAGTAAAGAGTACAGGTAAAAGCAATTCAAGCATCCCTATTTGTTTTTATATTTTAAAAATATTTATTTATTTATTTTTATTTATTTTTATTTTTTTATTATTTTAATATACTAATATAAAAAATAATTTTTTAAAAATAAAAAAAAAATTATTTTGATGTATTTTCTCATAAAAAATACTTTAGAAAACAATTACGACCAAATAAAAAAATATTAATTAAGAACATAACATATTTTTTTTTGGTAAAACTTCTAATCACAAATAAGAATCTCAATAACATGTATGTAATAACATGTAAACCAATGTAGCTGATACCAATAAAATTTTGTTAACATAATTAGTGAGGATGTAATTAAAAATAAATAAAGTTCGGCTACCCAAATGAAAATATAACAAAAAAAGGAGCTCCATTTTTTTCTTTTCATCAATATGAGATGAACAGAAAAAAAACCACGCGCAGATCAATGTAGATGTTAATTAATAACTTGTAAGGACTTAATTGAAAATAAATATAGTTAAGTAATTAAATTAAAAATGTAAAAAAAGAAAGTAGGTCCAATTTTTTTGTTCTTCATGAACAGAAAAAAAAACGAAATCTTATATAGTTCATTAGATGATAATGAACAGCTGACGTCAGTGTCCTTTTCAAATTGTCCAATTGAAATCGTCCCCCCTCCAGCATTGTCAATTTCAAATTCTCTCCAAACGTGACCACCTTTATCACTCTGGGTCCCATTTAAAAAAATAAAAATAAAACGAAAAAACAATTTCAAGCAACCCTTTCACTTTCTCTACATTACAACATTTCCCCGTTTTCGCCCTTCTTTTCGTAAATAAACAACTCCTCAGGGACCTTCAATTCAAAAAAAGAAAAAAGAAAACTCTCTCAGTCGAAACAATAATAAAACACTGATTTTTTAAAAGGCGAACAACCAGAAAGAGATCGAAGGGAGAGAGGTTGTAGTTTGTAGATGACGATGGACAGAGAGAAGGAGAGAGAGATAGAGTTGGAGAGTGCAATGTATACGAACTGTTTATTATTAGGTCTGGATCCGAGTATAATCGGACTCGGACCTTCATCAAATGGCACTCCCCGGGTCGGACTTTTCCGTCACTCCAACCCTAAACTCGGTGAACAGCTTCTTTACTTCATCCTCTCCTCGCTTCGCGGTCCTGCTCAATCCGCCAAAGTAATATTTTCATTTTCTCCTTTTTAGATACAATGTTCCTTCCTTGTATGTAAGTGTTGATAATTTCTTTTTGCGATCGATCTTGTCAGGATTTTGATAAGGTGTGGCCGATTTTTGATTCTGCTCAGTCACGTGATTTTCGTAAGGTTAGTAATTTGATTAGTTGTGATTTCGTTGAATTTTCCGCAAAGCTTAGATTTTGTTTTTGTGTTTTATTTTTGCTTTCGCTTTTGTTTCTTGTTGTTTGTTGTGGTTGATATGTTAGGTTGTGCAAGGGATAATTAGTGAGCTTGAATCGCAAGGGGCACTTCCAAGGAGTAATTCGAGGGTTTCTTCCCTTGCTACTTGTTGTGGACCGAGGTAGTTTTTTTTTTATATTTGGTCAATTTTTTTTTAAAATTTTGAAAAGTGAATTTTGAATTATAGAAACGAAACTAGAGATAAACCAAATGTGTTCATCTTGCAGTGCTCTCAACTTAGCCAAATAGTTGGGTCAAGTTAAATTCAGTATTGGTTATAAGTTCTGCTGTCTTATGAAAATCTCGGTTTCTTAGTAAAATGGATGCTTTCTGTTCATAAATAGGAGCGCTAGAGGATAATGTGTGTCTGCCATAAGCAAGTTGATGACTTGGAACGCTTGTTTCCTAGTGAGAACTCATATGATTTGGCATGTTTGTGAGTGCATATATTCTGAATGGGTTTTGTATCTTCGTGAAATAATCAAGAAAATTTACTTGTACAAGTTGCTACAATTGTAATTGGTTCATAATGCTTGCAGATTTTTTCTTTTAAAATGACTTTCAAGGCATCCATTTAGAGCATAGATTTGTGTGGAAGTCAATGATATATTTTTTTGGCTTAATGCAAAAGTTTCTCACGTATGTGCAGATTTGTTGAACTCTTGTGGCAACTTTCTTTGCATGCTTTGAGAGAGGTTCACAGACGGACATTTGCGGCTGATGTTGCTTCGAACCCACTTCCTGCTTCATTAACTGATGTAGCTTTCCAACATGCAGCTACATTGCTTCCTGTGACAAAGGTAATACTATATTTGGTCCTTTTTATCTATCTATAAAGTTATCAAACCACAGGTCGTTCTCATGGCAAGTGGATATTTGAAGTTTTTATCAAATTTTCTAAATCCACCTATAAAGTCTTTCAATCAGGCAATGCATGCATGGCTGTTGTGCCATCATTTTTATGGAGATTCTAAATGCACTGACATCAAAGAACACTTCTGAAAAGGCTGAAACATCCTTTGTTAAACTGTAACTATAAGTGGATCATAATTTGGAAAGGATTTTCTAATAAAATATTCGTTCCTGCAGTTTCATGTATTTGTTTCCTCTGTGGATGAATTGCCAGTATCATAAGTTATTATCCATATGAACTATTCAAGGTTGCTTTTCTAAACTTTGCGTGTTAGTGAACAATTCAAATGTTGGAAAGGTTTTAAGAAAGGAGCGCTGTTTTTTCTGGTCTTTTTTCCCTATTCTCTTTTTGACGCTTTTTAATTACAACTATGCTTCAATTTTGGTAGCAGTGATTTGAAACTCTTTCCTTAAACAGGCAAGGATAGCCCTCGAAAGAAGGAGGTTCCTTAAAAATGCTGAAACTGCGGTTCAGAGACAAGCTATGTGGTCAAATTTGGCTCATGAGATGACAGCTGAGTTCCGTGGTCTTTGTGCAGAAGAGGTAATGGGAAACTCATTTACCTTTTTTGTGATGCATTTAGGATGCAGCTGCCTGTTTTCCTCACACTTCCCTATTGTAAACTCGGATGTCAGGCTTATTTGCAGCAAGAGTTGGAAAAACTACATGACTTGCGGAACAAAGTGAAGCTAGAAGGTGAACTGTGGGATGATCTTGTGTCGAGTTCTAGCCAGAATTCGCATTTAGTTTCGAAGGCAACTCGCTTGTGGGATTCTATACTTGCTCGAAAAAGTAAGTCTTAATTATGGAAGTTTTCTTTTTTTTTTCCTTACAAAATCTAACTATTTAATTTGTTTGAATAAATAAATTAGGTTTTTCTTGGAAATAATACCATAATTGAGGGGGTCAGTTGTTTTCTTTTGAAACAAATTTCCTTCTATTAGGTTCCTTCGTTCAGAGTAATTACTATAAGTTGTTTCCATTTGATGATGAGTTTAGTTGATATAAAAATGGTCACTTTTCATATTTTTTCTGTACTTCTCTGTTATCATGATGGTACTCAGTACTTACATTTGGATGCATACTGCTATGATATGTAGTTACCATGGACATGATACTTGTGCTTTGAAACATGTACGGTTGAGCTTGTCATTCCTCTAGGGCTTGACCTGCATATTTTTAGGTAAATAAATAGACTGCCTGATTATCTCAATCTACTCCTAGTTGAGTTTAAGGCTTGCTTTCTGAATCTATTCTTTATGCTAGTAGTTTTTGGGATGATCAGAAAGGATGGCAATATGCCTTTGGAATTTGTATCTTCATGTCCTGGACATTTTGCTTCAAAAGTAATTTATCCATGTCTCCTGGGCATAACTTGTTCTTCCTAAGAAAGTTTTTTGCCTTTTTTTCTGGTAAATTTCTAATATTCTTTATCTTTTTTGTGTTGATTTCAATGGTCTGTTTACTTGTTTTCCTCCTATGCTCTAATTGCTGATTCTTGATTATCATGGCAGAGGAAAAAATTGTAAGAATGGGATCCGGCCTCATATACCTTAACTGTATATGAACGCTGTTCCCTTCATTACCTATGTTTGATTGTCACAGACAGATAGATCCGAAGGGTTCATGCTTTCATTCTCATGATTGGATCTCATTTTCAACTCATTCTCATGGGATTCGACCTCATATATCCTAACTATATATGAATGCTGTTCCCTTCATTACCTATGTTTGATTGTCACAGACAGATAGATCTGAATGGTTCATGCTCCCATACTCATGATTGGATATAATTTTCAACTCATTCTCATGATTGGATATCATTTTCAACCAAGGAAATTATCAATTGTGTGGTTACACTTGCTTTCACTTTATATGCACATGAAAATATTCTTTTGCTTGCTTGTATTACTATTAATCACTTATTACTCAAAAAAATGTGTGGCCTCTTGATGAAAAATTCTGTGACTATCAATTTGCATGCTTCTTAAAATTTTGACGCGAATATCTGCCCCAATTAAATAGTACATATACTGCTACTTTTCTGTTATTCCAGTAACTTTGTTAACTTGTCATTGTTTTTAACTTTATTTACAGGTCAACATGAAGTTCTTGCTTCAGGGCCAATTGAGGACCTGATAGCTCATCGGGAGCATAGGTAATTAAGATCGGATGTTATGCTAGATTCTGAAGATGTCAATTTATCTGATTCCTCTTCGTGCGTAATATTCCTTTACAGATATCGCATCTCTAGATCATCTTTGCTCTCTGCTATGGATCAGAGCTATCAGGTTTCTTATTCAGATAAACATTCGGATGACAAGGAACATAGTGATGGATCTTATGTTAATGGAAATGGTGAAAAGTCAAAGAGTAGTATGGATTCATCCCATGTACAAGTAAATGATGAGATGCATTCTCGAGTGGATGATAGAGGTGGAAGAGTCCAGCCCACTGTTGATGTAGCAGAAATTATAAGGCGTTGGACACATGCATTGCAACGTATTCATAAACAGTCACTTCTTCTGGTATTCTATTTCTTTGTCTGGTCATGAGCTCCTTTATTTAATTGGTAATTTGAAAAATAGATTCCTTCTGCATACCAAGCCAAGGCCTTCATTACTTACATGCTAATGATTAACTGCTATATGGCATATGATTAAAAGTGTGTTGCAAAATTGAGGTTATATATGCCTATTAGAAGTTTGGTATTGCAACGTTTTGAGGTTGTAGATATTTGTGCAATACGAAGTTTGAGTTTACTAGGTGAAAACAAGACATATTTGATGTTAGTTCTTTGCAATCTTGTGTTGATTTTCTGTACAACATGGACACAACCTGATTATTCTGTGATTTACTTCTACTCTACTTATCAAGGTGTTTGGTTTTGAGTGTGTTGGAAGAACATGGAGGTCTGGAAAAGCATGGAGATCTGGAAAAGAATAGAAAATGTCATTCTTGATGTCATTATCATCAGTGAATGTCGGATTTTGGAAACTTTGCTCTGGATGACTCGTTTATGCAAGCGATTTGTCATTAGATCTTAGTTTTGTGTTTTTTTTTAAAAAGTAATGTTCTCTTTTTTGTTTGTAGATCAAATACTTTATTATACTGAACTGTGTCTTTTTGTGTGAGAACTTGCCTTTAATGGCATACTATTTTTGCTTTGGAAGCAGATGTGCAAAGTATATTGTTGAGTATTTCCTCTACTCTTTTTTTAGTATTTCTAATGTTTGTCTGCTTTGTTTTTTCCAGATATTATTTGAGAATTCAAAAAATGCTCTTTATAAGAATGTCACTATAAAGAAAGAAAGTAGTTTGTTATGGAAAATGATTATTAAAATTAATTCATCCCATTAAAATGTCTTAATACAGGAGAAGGATAAAACAGGTTTGACAGTAGTATTAATGAATTAGAGATGCCCATGCATTTTCAATCCCAGAACTTATAAGTTGTTGATTGGATTTTGCTTGTCAATTGTCATTGATGTAGTGAAATGCTATTGGGCAACATTTGCTTTGTAGGCAAAAGCTAATGATGGAGAAGGTCCAGATATATTAAGAAGTGCACTCGATGGTGGTGCTAGTGGCCATGCTGAATCTTTAGCTGCAACTCTTGCAGAACATCAGCAACACCTGAGTAGTTTTCAGGTAATGAAATAATCTTTGTGCACCAGATGTGAGCTTCCAGTAAGCTCTTGGCTTTCAATTTAACAATTTGAGTGTCAGCTTGATGTTGGCTTAATTCCTCTGGACATATTGGGTATTTGTGTACATGTGTTTTATTTTCTTGTGATGTGCATTGACAACAAGATAGTTGTTTATACTTCCTTAAATGTCTTATTTTGTTCACAGTATGAGAATGCATTATAATGATCTTGACCCCTTCATAATCAGGCTCAAGATCTGAGGAGTTGATGCTTGTTGCACACAGATTAAGGAGTTTATAGTAGATTAACTTTTGAAAACCTGAAACCATGGATGCAGCTGCTTCCCTGTATTTGTCACTTTAAGACCCAGAATTTGTGGTTCTGATATAATAACTTAGAAGTGGGATAGCCAAGCTTTATGGATACTCCTTGTAGCAGACATCAGTGAGTTACTGTAATTGTCATTGTTCATTTTTTTTATGGGTGGCCTTTGAGTTTCTAGTCATGCTGGTGCAGCAATTGAGAGGACCGATCCTTGCTTTTTCTAAGTGTTAGAACTTTCTGGACTGTACACAACCTTTCCCTAATCCAAACCTCAACCATGTGTATTCACCTGTTAAAATGATGAATAGCAACACATGTACCTTATATAAATGAAATTGTCATGGATGTGCTGGATTACTGATGTTATGAACCCAATTGTCTTAATGGAATGATATTAGATTACCTTATTTATTTATTATTTTTATTTTTTTCATTTATGAGCACTCGCATGATGTTCTTCAGGTCACTAGGCTTTCCTACTTACCGGAGGTTATGTTGAAGATTTTTTGCAGTCTAATACGATTTTTTTTGTAGGGACTTATTGACCAACTTAATGAAGTTGTTCCATCAATACAAAATTCAATATCAGAGTGTACAGCGAAAGTAAATAATATTTCTTCCAGCCAGCCACCAATGGCCAGGCATCATGGTCGAGCAACCTCACCTATACAAGCTCAAAGCAGTGGAAGGACCTTGGTAATTTTTATGAATGATAAGTTCATGCAAAATATTAGGCCCAATGTTGAATAACCCATCATGTAAAGCTGAGTGTTTTTTTTCCCTGTTAGGAAACTAGCTCTGATAATGTTGCGGAGGTGACTTCAAAAATTTCCACAGTTCAGCTTGACAAGGTATCTGCTAGCCCCCCTGCTTTGAAGCTACCGCAGTTATTCAGTTTGACCCCAAATTCTTCTGGAAAAGGTGCAAACTTGCAAAAGAGACAAATGTTAGCTCCCCAAACCATCCAAATGGAAAATCTTTCTGAAAGAAACTCTCTGGACCAGCCTTTATCAAATGATCGCTTAGATAATCCATTGCAAGGTTTGCTAATTCTCTCTGCCACCTGCTTTATCCATTCTGCATAGGTATCACACTTATTGGCTTGCTGAAAGTCCTTGCAGTTTATCAATTAAAAGAATTTCCGATTTTGAAAGCTTTAGTTGGAGAGTTTGATTTTGTGTGTTTGTAGATGGAGAAAATTTTGTTCAAAACTTAAAGAGATCCGTAAGAGAAGCTGCACTATCTATGCAATCTTGCAATTCAGAATCATCTCGTAACAGCCAGTCTGATGAAAGTTCTGAACACTTCTTTTTACCTCTTTCATCGCCTGGATTTTCTATGGTCCCAGAAAACAAAGTAGTCTCAACAAGAAGTAAAAGATTTTCTGCGTCTCAAATGAACACTGCTTTGCTTGAGAAACATGCTCGAGATGGCCATGCTGGAAGCAAGTACAAAGAATTACCGGAAATTCTAAATGACTTGGGTCCACTTACTGACTATGATCATGTAAATGGCTTCCTCTCAGTTGCTGGTTCAAATGGTTTAATATCTGATGGTCAGAAGTCCTTCAATGATGTTGAGGAACCTTATGCTCAAGTATTCTCCCCTCCTTTGCTGTTGGATACGTCCCTTGTACCAGATTCATACGAGGACTTACTTGGTATGTTGCTTTGGGTGAAATGCTCCCTCCTGTTACAGGCTTTATATATGTTTGTTAGTTATCTGCGTATTCAGTTATTGTTGAATGATTTACTAGATGCAGTATGTGTTCATTATGCCATCAACTATGAAAATTTCAGATCTTCAAACTCAAAATATGCCATAATTAAGCTAGCATGTGTCACATTGCTGCATGGTCAGCAATCCATTATTCTAGTTTGGCTTTATTTTTTACATACAAGATTAATTATGCTTAGACAAACAACTACTATAATTCTTTTGTGTTAGAGTTCAGTTTGAATCTAGGTATAACTTATGTTGTTAATGAGGATTTATCAACTGGAGACCCTCATTTTCTCAGTAAGGTTTAGAGATCCTTTTAGAAGTATTAGGAGTAAAGACATGTATTTAAAATATTTCACCTTTTTTTAGCGTGGCTGCTCTCTCTAAGAATCAAAGGTTGCATATTTTGATCATGGGTACAGCTGTGACGTTGCTAATTATGGGGAATAGCAGTTTACTTACAGTTGCATCATCCCCCTAAATCTGCTAGCTCTTTCTTTTTTGCGTTTTCTTGTTTCATATTTGTTTAATTTCATGTTGGATCTTTTTCCCAACTGGGACATGTTATTGATTTGAAATTTGTTTAAATTTGTTGCAGCTCCACTTTCAGAAACTGAAACCGCCTTGATGGAGCTTTGAGTCAGAATTTTCAGCATTGTTCTTTATGTATGTGATAGATTTGTATAACAACGGATTTGATTGTGTATTAGAGCAGGAGCTAGTAATCATTATGCGATTTTTCTTATCTCATTTACAGTTTTTTATTGGATATGTTTTTTTTGAGGATTCAACTGAGGAGTATCCAAGGTTGCTGAAGTCCCTCCCATTTGTGCCTTTCCACGATAATTAAGAGGTTTGCATCCGACAGACTCTGAATTTCGAGTCTTCAGCTATATCATCCTGTTTGTTGAAATGCATGATATTCTGTTTTTGGAACTCTTTACTGTTTGAGATTCATCTTTGCAATCATCTAATGTATATAGAATACCAGTACTGCTAGGGTGCTTGGAACATCCCTTAATGTCCTTGGTACTAATTATATGGCATTTGTTGTACGGAAAAAAGTATTTTAATTTATGGAATGTAAATATACAAGTGGTCCCTGCATTATTCATGAAGTTTTTGCCAGTGAAGTTGAAGTCTGTCTTCGATTGCTGATACCCTTGTTTTAGATCTCCAAAAAAGTCTCTTCCACTTTCCTCCCCAATCTCACTTAATAGTAACATATAAATGAAGGGATCAGGAGATTTTGTTCACCAAGAAATGACCCGAAATTGGATCTTGCTCTACTTGAGATTGTTGCTTTCAATAGTTTTCAAATATGTTTCTATAATTTGGTTTCTTTTCTCTCTGGTGTTATTATTATAATTAGCCTATGTTTTTGTTGTATCCATGAAGAATCCGCCCGTCATAAATGTTAGGATATAAATCTATATGATATTATACAGTCTAATTGATCTTGACGAATCATATCATACAAAATTTGTTTATGGATGGAACCAATGTAGACCATGAAATTATTGAAGGGTGATGCTAGATATTAAAGACCACAATCAAGAACCGGTCTTGTTAGTGCTGTTTATACAAGTACTTGAACAAGAGCCCATAACATTTAATAATTTTATTTCAATAGCAATATTATATTCCCAAAAAGGGATTACGCCTATTTTTATCCTAAGTGCTAGTTAGGATATCCGGGCTTGTCATAGGCTACATCGAGGGGTGTCTTTTTCGCTAAAAAATAATGTGGGCACTGTCAACACGTTTGTTAATATTAATAATTTTTTTAACATTAATAATTTTAATTATGAACAAAAAGTTGTGTATGTTTAATATGATAAATTGATAATTAGATGCACTAATAAATGTTAAAAAAAGTTGTTAATGCCAATAAAAAATAAAATTGAAAAATTAAAATGTACATCCAAATTAAGATATTTGATCTTGCATCATAACTTTTCAAATTTTTTTATATTTAATAATATGGAAATTGAATTGTTTTCTAAAGAAGATTACTAAATTGAATTATATTGAAACAAAATAACTTTTTAGTATAATTTCTCCTTTTCTTTTTAATATGTTTTTTTTAACAAAAAAAAATATAGCATTCCGAGCTATATTGTTTATTTAATAAAAATCAAAAGCAAATATAATAAATTTATATAAAAAGATATAAAAAGATGAACAATTTAAAATAAGAATAAAAATGTATATCTTTAATTCAGACCTTATTATCTTATTAATGTAATCCTTTTTTTTTTAATGTTTTTTACTAGAATATTCTTTTTTTAATAACAACTTATCAAAACCATAAAAGCAATTTTTAGTAAAAAATAAAAAAAATCCTTTGGTAATTTTAACATGAATGTATTAGAAAAGAAAAAAATAACATATTGATGGAGTGTTATGTGTAAATTTTCAAAATCTATTTTTGAATAAATTATACAATAGTAAAAAAACTTATTCACAGGAGAGACAAAAAATAAAATGATGGGTAAACATTGAATTTCTTTTCATCAAAATATATAATTTTCAATGATATATTTTTTTTTTATAAGAAGAAAATTTCATTAAATAAAAAGTGAAAATTTTGAATTTTTTTTTTGCATTGCTATAAATACTCAACTTCATTTTTATAGGATATTTGTGATCATTAACATAGAAAATAATCTGCATAGTAGGTTCATATGTAATAATTAAAAAAAGAAGGAAGAATCTTAATTGAAAACAAATATCAAATCAAATAATATATAATGAAAAAAATATTAAATAAAATTTTAATCATTTAACCATAAGTAATCTTGATTAAACTTTTAGAAGAAAAACAATAACCATGCAAGTTTAGTTTCTTCATTTCACTATACATTTTAATTGTTTATTATTTTTTATATTTGATCAAATATCAAATTTCCCCTCAGACATTATAATAATAGAAATAATATTGTGAAAATATAAAAATATCCCTTAACTCCAAGTTTATTTTATTTTTTTGCTTTCAAGAGTATTTTGGTCGTTTCATTATGTAATTGATATAGAAAAAAATATATTTATCCCTAGTCTATTTTTTAATGACTGTCATAACTTATTTTTAGGTTCCCCTTTAACATTTACCTTTTTTTTTTTAAAAAAAAAACAAAGAATAACAACAACAACAACAACAAAAAGACTAGTAAGATGGCAAAAGCAAGCTGAGAGAGGTTTGAAGTGTATAAATGAATTAGATTTGAACAAAATTAGAAGCCCAATCGTACCCTACTATATCTAAAATTAAAGAGATAATGCACATTCAAACTCAAATTAAATGATTATTAAACAAACCTATATAAAAATTAAAATTTGAATCAAATTAAAATATTTAATTAGATGCAAAGACTAAGTATACTCTTAATGAGTCAAATTAATTTTATTAGGGATTTAGTTGTTGAAAAAATTAAGTTTATTTGGGCTTAATCAAGAAGATTAAAATTTTAGAGGACCAAATTTAATTTTTACAAAGTCAATTGATTGAAATTAAGGATAAAATTGCAAGAACATTAAAGTTTATGGTCAATTAAAAGTCAAATTGAAGAAATTCATAACCAATGACCTTTTTGAAAATGACATTAAACTTCAAGGACTTAATTTGGTTGAAAACAGGGGTGAATTTGAAACAAATTAGAACTTAAATAGTTAACTGAGGATTAAATTGTATAAATCCAAAACCAAGGTTCAAAATGAAAAAGGTGTTGAACTTCAAGGTTGATATTTGAGTTTGTTAAGGGTAAAATTGCATAAAATTAAGAGTTTGAAGTCAATTAGGGATGTAATTAAAAAAACAAAGGACTAAATTGAATTTTAGTCAAATCCATAATTAAAACTCTAGGGGTGTCATAATGACACTGTTTCATTTAAATAAAACGATGTGTTTTGACGAAAACGGTTTGTTTTGGTACAAAATGATCCTATTTTGACCAACATTAAAAAAAACAAGGTGCTAGGTGACTTACTATCTAGTCACTGTGCATAATCTTCAACCTTTTGTACCTAAAAAGGTGCTCAGGTGATTACTTTTTAAAGGCATTTAATGCCTTAACTCTCCACCAAACAGGACAAATAAGACATTAATCTCATTGTAAGATACTATATAACACATCAATGTGATTCTTGCCAACTAGTCACCTCTATAGTTGTCGCGGTTGTTGCAATATTGCAGTCGCACAAATTAATTACCCTAACTTAAAACATAACACACAAGATAGTATAGAGCAAGCAAGGGGTTGATCCCAAGAGGAAGATTTTGTTCAGATTTTTATGCTATACGTTATGCAATTTGGGGTTTTTTTTGATTTGTGATGATCTAAAATATAGAAGAAATTAAACTAGCAAATAAAATCAATTAAAATCAAAATTTATCAAGAAAACAAACCTTGATCGCAATCACACATCCACCAATGAAAATTAGAACTGATCCTTGAAACAAAACTACAATTTATATTCTGAATTTTTATCTTTTCTTAACGTTACTTAATTAATGGATCCGCCGTATAACTAACCTTAACCAACAAACAATCACAATGTCCGTATTAATGATTTAGTTCAATGGCAGTCCTAAGAACCAGATATTTGAGTGTTCTTCCAAAGTTTAATAATGTAGTTCCGCTACAATTATCAAGCTTAGTTGCTTCATAAGTTCATACATCACAACTCCGATTTTGATATCAAACTTAGCAATAAATTATTCATAATAATAACTTAGAGTTCCGTTCTAGCAATTATCAACAACAATCATAAAAAATATGCATAGGAAAACAATCATACTCATTCATAATATAAACTAAAAATAAAAGGAAGAATAAATCCACGATTCTTGAAATCCGAAGGTTTATTGTGTTCTTACAACCAAGAAAACAAGCTTAGCCTTGCATATTTATGAAACAACTACTTTTAAAGATAGAAGAAAGTATTATTTATGATTTGTAGAGAGGAGAATTTGTGTTTCTTCACTTCTGGCTGTTGCCCCCTTTCTCTCATTTTACAAAATAGTCCTTTCTTAAGTTGACAATTTACAATTAAGTACTTCAATAACTATTTTTCTAAAAAGAAGAATTAGCCTTGCATGAAATCTCATTTCCATCATCAAACCATCTCTATGTTTTAAAAATGAAAAATTAATATCGTAATGTTTATGATTATCTGTTACAGCTTGGTCAAAATATCAAAAATTCTTGAACAATTATCTTGTTTAATTAATATACAATGTTAGGATTTGACTGTAGATTTTAATATTATGAATATAAAATTATATTGTAAAATATACATTTAGATATTAAAAATACAAAATAGAAAATAAATGTGATGCTAAATTGAGCTTTTAGAAGTATTAGGATTTAACCTATAAAGTAAAGACTTCTTCACAAAGAACAATCTACTTTGTACTCTAGATGAGACTAATATATAAAAATATAATCTAGAAAAATAAACAATCAACAATGCATTTTACTTTAAATGAGGTGTACTAAAAATACTGTATTTTTTCTTTATACAACTAACCTTTTTATTTATATTCTCACAAAACATGAATTTTTCTAACAATTATAATATTAAATAACAATTTCTAAATTCTATAATCATAATAATTTTATAATTAAATCCTACACCCTTTCGATTCGAATTTCAGCAGGGCGCACACCAGAAATACGTTACTAAACCTCCTTTTATTGAGATTAAACCCTACAATCACAGAAGTGCCTGAATTTGCGATTGACAACGATGACATGGCAAGGGACCGGGCAGTCCACATGGCAGGACTTCCATGCTGGTTGCAGCAGCGCGTAGAGGTCACACAGGGGTATATGCCGAGGTGGGGCGGGAGCTAAGACTGAGCAGCAAGGAATCACCGTCCTCAGTATAAGGGATGTTGCCATGTGTCATGAACTGAGCACTGATTTACATTTGATTAATCGGTTTAGGTTCTGAACAGGCATCATATAGAGAACTTTGGATGCAGACGAGATGAGAAACTGAGTAGCTAAGAAAATGTAGAGGGAGAAATCGTAAATTGTTCATGGCGTTCTCCAAGATCGGTTGCTATTTTTGTAGAGATATATAGATTTGAAACCATTTTTTGTATCCCAAAGTAATTAAAAGGAAATAAACACCCAATTAAT